TTTTTTTTTTTTTTTTATATATATGGCTTCAGCGTCTGAGCCAGACCGGAAGGTAATTGTCGTCAATCATTGTCTAACCTGGCTATAGAATAACTCCTTGCGGTGTTGTTGTATTTTAGGGCATGTTCCATTATCATTGAATGGCCTAGATGCATCTCTGATGCTCCTTCATTGATCAGATTTGTCAGGTGGACAAAGACAACCAACGCAAATGAGTGGTGGGGGGAAGGGGGGCCTCTGCAGAACTAGCAGATCAACAATCAGCGCCAATAGAGTTGAACTCAAAGAACTACTATGGTAGTGTACATGCCATGCCTAGACATGCACAATTTACACCGCTATTCCGGGTCCCCCGTGGCTTCCACCTGTATCGCCCAGTCTTGCGGATTTCCTCGATATTATTTTTGCTGGTGCCCCTGCCACGGCTTATATTACAATGCAGATGTATATATCGTCTATTATTATGAGCCATTTAGAGTTTCATCTGCATTGGAGGGATGTCCTTCCGGGCAAATTTACAGCATCTTCTAGCTGTCCCAAATCTTGGGAAAATACTGCTAAATGCTAACCCCAGTATTATGGCAAGGAATTTCTACGATCACGGACACGGGCTAGATGAATGCTTGCCTAGTGTTAAGACCATGCAGCCTTATAGTAGCTAATTGGTTAGACACAATCAGGCTTCAAGCTATTGATCATCAACCCTACTATTTCCATCCAATGGTACTAGTAAAAGTATACTTTACAGTCACAAGGTGCGACCCGCACCAATCAGATAGACACGTCACATGTGCTCCTACAGATATACAGTGGATAGAACTGACATGATCTGTGTATTAACTAAATGTCCATGTCCCGCTCCTAACGCCTTTTCGGAAGTAAATCATTGTTTCTTCTCTCGAAATGTCGACCTGTTCACACACCCACTCTCCCTACAACGCCACACGTCTATCGAGAATGGGCTCTTATTTCCCTGTGGGCCAATGTCAATGGTCTCTTTCTTCATTTTTCTCATCGCCTCTGATTTTCTTCCCCTAACCAGTCCATCAGACAGCCACCAAGCGGTGGCAGATCATTACTGCAATCATTACCCAAGGACGTAAGGTGTCATTTATTTCCTTTTTATGGCTTCGCTCCCTATGGCCACTGCATGGAGTGGACCTTCATAACCAACTTGAACCTATCGCGGGTATCGCACTTGCTGCTTTAATTATCCAGCTCTCTGCAGCAGTAGTGACCGGCCTTATATTTGCCATTATGGGGGTGTTCTATGCTGCAACCATGTTTTGAGTTTATCGGGGCCCAGTTATCACGCAACTCGCTAGCGATTTAACCTGGCTCTTCCTTATCAATTTGGCAAGTCCACCTATGGTGCAAGCCGGTGCTCTGGCATGGGGGGTTTTGTGTGATAGTCAAACAAACCCACTAGTCCCTCGCTGGGTTGGCTCCGTCGCTGTAATCTTTGAAGTGGCATTTTTGTTTACCTTTCCTGCTCACAAGGTACATCGTGGGCTGACTGCCTGGAATGGTGGGATATCCTTCTGGGCTCTGGTAGGTACATCTGCTATATGGTATGGGTGTATCGATTTTTATGCCTGCAAGGCTGCTAGTGTTAATGAGTAACTGGATCATTTGGCTGTGATTATCAGGGTCTGTCAGTCCAATCTTTCAGTCGCACCGGGCGTTTCCAATGCGGATAAACGATTTGTTACTCCCGGGGCTTCGTTGTCAAGTCCTAGACCAGTTAGCGGACCACGTGAAGGGTTATGAACCTGAAAATCGAACAATAGCTTCTGTTATTAATAAATTGCGGGAATACAGTTCAATACAAGACTACTATCGGTACAGAACTCGAGCCTAAAGGGCTAGACCGATTGAGTGTATAATATATATACTTAATAGTTAAAAGTGTATAAATAAATTGAGACTAATTCTTACTACTAAAGATAGGTCTTACTAACTACATAGATTAATTACAAAGAATTAAACTAAGTATATAAATAAGTATTCTTTTATATTCTTAATTTCCTACTTCTATGGTGACTTCTGTAGAAGTAGGTAATAGGGTATACCTAGTTATAATACATAGTACTGTATACTCCCGGTATACTCTCTCTGGGATAGGTTTTGAAAAGCGGCGTCCCAAAGAGATTAGCGCATCTCGAAATAATCTGTTTTCGAAAACAACCGTAAAGCCTATATACTTCTTTCTAAAGCTCCCACTACTTCTGCTGTGTATTATATACTTTACACTTCTTAAAGCAAATTATTTGTCTTCTAAGTGTTTGTTCATTTTGAAACACCGCCGTCATGGAGACCACTCTAGGTCCGCGTGAGACTACTCCAGAAACTCACCCAACTCACGGGGTTTATTTCTCGAGCGAAACCATCGTCAGCATAATTGATTCCCTTGTTCCTGGCTGTAGCATTTTGGCTATTGACCCTCTAGAGCATGGGAAATCATTCAACAATCGCATCTACTTTTTGAAGATTTACGTTCCTGAAGACCTGCTCTTACACGGCCTAAGCAACGGAGCTGTCAATGATTTGGTTTTGAAATTGAACGGAAAGTTCTTTGACCAGACGAAGAGCGAAAACGAGGTGTCCTACTTGTCTCTGCTTGAATATTTCGTGCCCGAAATACCGTCACCAAGGATTCTTGCATGGTCTGATGGCAAGAATTCCGTCATCCACAGGTTGACTTCCACGGGGACCCTAGCGAAAAAGGAATCTGAGATTGGTTCTGAAGCCGACGGCCAGCTCCAGAGCTGGATTCTAATGACTCGACTTCCTGGAGTTCCCTTGTCGACGTTAGATTTGGATACAGACAAGCTCAAGGTTGTCGGCGAGCAACTAGCGGACATAGTCTACCGCTGGAGGGAGTCGCTACCTACTTGGGCAAGCGCTGGAAACCTTGAATGTGGAATTCCTCATGGGAAGGACCAAGATCCAAATTCATTAGAGGTTGCCGGATTGCACATTGCGTCTTCTTTAAATATGCCTGGTTTTGGTGTCAAAGTGGATGAGCCTATCATAAGCCAACTTCAGTACTACCGAGTGAGGCTTGAGACAAGGCTCCAGAAGCTTCAGGAACTCGATATATTTGCTGGGAATAGGCATTTAGTAGTTCCAATCAGCGAGTTTATCGCTAATCAATTACCGCATCTTGCAATATGCAATGGGATAAGTCATTTCTTATTCACTCACTACGACCTCTCTCCACGCAACGTTTTGATATCTGTGGCTCACACGAAGATCACTGGTATTATTGACTTTGAGTTTTCTGGGTTTTTCCATGAAATAGATGAATTTGTCAATGATTCCGTGGCAAATGAGGGCGACTGGCCTGATGCTTTCTACGAAGCATATTTGAGAAGGCTCGAGGCCTGCGGAATGAACATTCCAGGAAAGGGCATCAAAGAACAATATTGGAGAGAGGCAACATCGCTTTCTCGATTGGAAGACAACATAGCGCCCTGGTGGCTTGAGAACCTGACACCAGAGGACAAGAACCAATGCTCGGAAGACCTCCGGAAGTCGACAGAAATGGTTTTGGAAGCAATTCAGCTACTTGGTACCGGCGTTTGATGAAGTTTCTTTATCAAAGTCTTTATCCCATGGAGTCGCTGGTATCCGTCGATACCAGCCAATTTATATGGGGTAGGGTTTTTCGGGTTTGCCCCAAATACCAACCAAAGCTGCCCACTTATGAACCCAAATCCCAACATACAATGAAAATTCCACCATTTTTAACTTAAAGTCAATTTTAGCAGTACAGACGCAGTACCTTGCCATGAACCCCGTTGAGCTTCCCCTCACTCATATTATCTTAATATTTTCTCACGGAGTCACTGGGTTTATGGTCTACCGTATCACCAGAGAGAAGAAAAATCGCAACATGTGACACGAAGGGTGCCCACGACGCAGGAGGTGAAAAGGCACAGTTCATTCGAGCTTTGTATACGATTATTGATGGGATGGAGAGGGAGTCACTCTTCTTGTGTAGTGGTCTGTTACCTTTTGTTCATAATGTATCTTTCTTTTCTGGTAAGTTAAAATAGTTCCAACCCCGACGGCGAAATGGTTGACATTGTAGGAGAACCGAAGTCGTCATCAGTTGGTAGCCTTGAAGATTCGGCTTGGCAGGTGTTAATTCCGGGTCAGCATCGACCGGAGTTAAGCTCAAGAACTTAAATGACGCGGTAAGCCGTAGATGTATAAATAGCTCCTAGCCCCAACTTTCTGCATTGATAAAGATTTCCAACCTCTACTTTTCATACTATCTCAGGCTAGCCATCACATCCCACAACTTTACCAATAACATGCGCCTTATTCTCACAGGTGCCACCGGCATGGTCGGGTCGGCCACTCTCAACCATGTTCTTTCTCTCCCGCCCGGGCAAGTATCGCATTTGTATATCTTGAGTCGGAAATCTGTACCCATCGCGGAGGATCGACCCGACGTTACTGTGATCGAGCATAAGAACTTCAACGAATACAGTCCTGAATTGTTAGAGAAGTTGAAGGGAGCCGATGGCTGTATTTGGGCGTTGGGAATTTCCCAGACACAAGTATCGAAAGAGTGAGTACAGTTTATAGTATGTCAAGAAGCCAATAAGATAATACTAACATCATGGAACAGGGAGTATGTAAAAATCACAATGGACTATCCATTAGCAGCAGCAAAAGCCTTTTCGGGATTATCAGACTCTTTTAACTTCGTATATGTTTCAGGAGAAGGAGTATGTTCTATTTACCGCACTACTTCTGGCTTCGTCATCAACGCAACTAACAAGGACTCAGGCAACGCAAGAACCAGGAATGTTCACTCCATTTTACGGTCGGATAAAAGGCGAGTGTGAAGCGGCATTGATCGCCCTATCCCAGAAGTACCCCAGTCTGAAGCCCTACTCCGTCAGACCTGGGCTCGTAGACCCGGCTTACGACCCCGCGACACTGGCATCTGTCATGCAGCGGCCGGACTTCACTGCCACCAAAAAGATGCTCTTAGGGACTATCGGTCCCCTCACAAGACAATGCTATTCCAAAGGTGTTTCACCGACGAAGGACCTCGGGCATTTCCTGACAGACCTGGCTAAGGGAAACGGACAACCACTTACAGGAGAGGGAGTCAGTGGTGGTGGATGGATTATATCGAATGCTGCATTCCGGAGAGCAGCCGGTCTCTAATCATATCTTCCAGCCTCAAGTCAATGTACTATATATACATATACCCAACTCTATCTCAACATACAGAACCCAACCCTAATACATCTAATCTCATCTCCGATAACCATAATGCCAATCCGCCCTCCCCAAATCCTCCCGAACCTTATAAACGCTCTCTGCATCATCCAAAACCCCCATATCAACCTCCACCACACTCATCCCCTCGCTACACCCTTCCACCCTCCCAACACACCCCATAAACGGCACCGCCACCTGCGAAGCCCCCGCATAACCCTCCTCCTCCCCACCCCCAACATTACAAAACACAACCGCAGCCGTATTCTCAAAAGCCCGACTAACAACAGCCGCATCAACAAACATCCTCTCCGACTCCGGATTCCACCTCCTCCCCACCGCCCCGGCATCATCCAACTTCCAATAAGCTGGCACAATCACCATCTTCGCCCCCTGCATAACCAACTCCCGAAATGCCTCCGGAAACGCCAAATCCCAACAAATCAGCAACCCGACCTTACCCAACGGGGTATCAAACGCAACATGGCCCGAGTCCGTGGCTCCACGGTCCACGAACTCGCGTTCCGGGATCCAGAGGTTCTTCTTTTCGTACCGGCCGCGGATTTCCCCCGTGTTGTCGATGAAGTAGGCTACGTTGAGCAGTTTTTCCTCCCCCGTGGTAGGGTCGGTATGTAGTTCTGCGATGGAGCCGGGGACGATGTTGATCTTGCATTCTTTTGCGAGGGCGATGTAGGAGGACAGGTGGGTTGCGTAGTTTGCGCAGCGTTGTCGGATGCTGCGGTCGTGGGTTGGGTGGAAGTCTGCCAGGTGGAATTCGGGGAGCACGGCTAGTTCGGCGCCGGCTTTTGAGGCCTTCTGGATGTAGGCTTTTGCGCGGGCGTGGTTGTTTTCTATGTTGTGGGGCTGAGTTGGGAAAGAGTTAGGGTTTGGGGATGGGAAGTGAGAGAGCATTGAGGGGGGTGAGGTGAGGGGTTGGAACATGAGACATTACCTCCGGGTGGAGTTGGATGAGTGCGATTTTGACCATTTTGGTTCTGATTCTGTCTTTGGCTTTTGTTTATCTTCGAATTGTGTGTAAATGAGTTAAGTGTGGTTATTTTGTTGTAGGGTGTTGTTGTATGGATATTTCTGGCTTTTATAAGCGCGTAGATTCCGCGCTGGATCTAGATCGTCGGCGATGTATGTAACCTTATCCGTACGCCGAGAGAGTCGCATGAACCTTGATGGCTTCAGGGAGAGGATGTTACTTGTTGCCTGCTCCGAGGTTGTATTGGGGGTCTGGGGTCCGCGGAACACCGAAAACACGTTGGCGGAGCCATTCCGGGCGTATCTTTTAAACAAGATGAGGAAGGATTGACCTTGGTGTGGCGATTTATTGATTAGATGGCTAAAGGTAATATGTTTACTTTTGTACTAAGGTTCTGTGGCTAGGATTAAGTTAGAAATGTCGAGATTTCAGACGGTGATAAATCAGTAAGCTAACTATAGTAGAGTAAATGATACGTAATAGCAAGAGTAGATGTGGATTGGATGATGTGATGGCTCGCGTATATAGTCGAGGATTAATTTCTTAGATCCATCTGGCGTTGGGCATAGTATCGATATCGCTTCGCTGTCATAACCCGGAACCTCTTCCCAAAGTAGATAAAGACCAGATTCCCCGACAGGATTACAGTAAGGATAAGCCCAAATGTTATATAAAAGCCACTTAATCCGACACTTGCAATCCACGGAGACAGAGCGAAGACGAAGATTGTCGAGATGAGGTTGCGGATGAAGGTCACTCCAACGAGGGAGTCTGCGATTACCTGTCCAAGAGGAACCAGTCAGTACTCTTGGTACTGGATTAATTAATGTTCTATTTACTTACATCCGTATATGCATCCGTAAGGTATGTCAATGCTACACTGTTAGCCGGAATAGTCCCGAATATGGCAATCCCTAATCCAACGGCCACCAGCGGCCAAGGGGATCCGTTGTTTAATCCTATCCCGAACATGAAAAGTCCGGCTGGCACGAACGGGATGAAAGCAACTGCAATCCAGAGTCTCATTTCAGGCTCGAAGACGCCCCGGTTCCTCTTTGCTAGATATAGCACAAGCGAATCGCTGAGGCGTCCGGATATCAGAACTGCTATGCTTGTACCGATGAATGGCGGCAGTCCCATGAGACCGATTTGTGAGGCGTTGAAATTGTAAGGTGGCAGGGTCATATACGAGGAGAGAGTAGTCACAGAGACAGTCACGGCGGCCGTCATGGCTCCGTAAACGACGGACATAAAAAAGATGGCAGGGACGGTAAAAAGAAGAATAAACGGTTCGACGCTGTGTCGGGCCATGCTGGCAAATGACCCCGGGGATGTCGACCATAAAGCAAGTTTTTTCCAGTAAGGCTTCACTGGGATTGAATGGTCGATCCAGTGGGTCGCGTGAGATCTCTGAGTCTCTCCCCCTTTATGTGCTATATTGGCCTCTATTTCTGGGTCAGTCGGAGACTTCTTATCTCCACTTTTGGAAGATGAGTTTATTTGAGCGGGAGCAGCAATGGGTGCAACACCCTCAAGGGTGGGAGAGAACTTTGTTTCCTCGTAGAGAAAGATGAAGGCAACAAGACCAGCGCCCATCAGTATGACCATCCACCACCAAACCCAGCGCCAGCCTTGCGAGGTAACAATATAGCCACCAGCTAAGGGGGACAGCGTAGCTCCCACCGTCATAAACCAGACATAAATACTGTTCATGAGTCCACGTTGATGAACAAAGTAGACATCAGCCACCGTCATTTGTACGAGCACTTCTGCGAGAGCTCCAACCATAGAGCTCAGTATATTGGCCGGCATGAGATCAGCAACCGTTTGCATTTTGGCTTGCCAAACACAAAAGGCACATTGAGCGATAGTGCTGAACACATAGACAGGTCGGCGACCGTACTTGAGAGCGAAGGGCATTAGAATCACGCCACCGATACAAAGGGATCCGCATCCCGCGGCGTAGCTATCATTCAGGAGTTCAAAACTGAAGCCCAGCTCCGCATTTAGTGGGCCCCAGGTTACAGTTGCCACGTCGATTCTGGTTGCTCAGCTCCGTGTCACATTTCGAGGGATAGCTCGCAGGCAACTTACATTGCGAAAACCATTATGACGTAGTAGGAGACTAAGCCAAAATTTAGGTGTTTACGCCATGTCGGCCAGTTCTGCATCGCTTTGTTTAGCCTCTTGTTAGTGGTTGAGCTCACAGCGAGGCTTACCAAGGGGTCGTTAGGATCATGGCTAGGTGCGGGCTGCAAAATGATATCAGTCGTCTGACCATCCTGTGGAAGGTCTGAAAGATATTAGATTCGGATCAAACATTATGAGAATTTATAAGTATCAGACTCACCTTCAAGCTGAACCGTTCCGGGCGGCCAAGATGGATCGGACGCTTGAGCTTGGTGCGACATTTCAAGGGACGGACTATATGCCCTATCAGCTAGTCCTAGATGCTCACAGACAGGACCTCTACGTCGAATCCGCAGGGCACATGTCAATTAACGGAACAGTACATACCGGGGAGACAAGACACAGATATACGACAGCCTTTGGTGGCAATGCACACCGGGCAGACAAGAGACAACGGACTAAGCCGATAACTCGATTCGTCGGGAAGACTACATTTGGCCCTTCTTTACCTACTACATTTCGTTTTGGTATGCTGTGCACCAATTGGCTTCCCATGCACAGAGACATAGTTAACACGGAGCAATTCCGCAGGAGGGGAAGAAGCGCTCTTGTCCAAGAAGGGAAACTGGAAGAAAGGACCAATGAACTAACTCTATCAACACTCTCGTTTTAGTTATTAGTGACCTCAGTCCGATATCTCGGATGCGGGGAAATAAGCCAAGATAAGGAGATAAGCTTCGAAATCTGATCAATGGCATGTATTTGCGCCTGCCAAGGCGAAAGGACCCGGGATCTTTGAACTTAATTGGCCAGTTGCATCTAAAGTATGGGCCCGCGAATGAATAACTAGGCTACCGGTTTTATAACAGGCGGTTCAGGAGAAAGCTGTCCTTAAAGCAGTCTGTGCGCCTTAATAACAAGCAATGACACGGCTATTTACGAAACAATTATTTGCCGATCAGCACTTATCGCAGTATGACTGACTCAGATGCTGGAAGAGTATGACCGAATCTTTCGCAGTTTCTCGACCGCATCTAGAAACCCAGGTGGCTGGCAACCAAGATAATGGATGGCATATACACCTCAGTGACTGTGGACTTACAGTGTTCCGTGTTGAACTCCTAGACTAAAAATATTATTGCTGGTAGACTGGTAGTAGGGCTAGAGTAAAATTTTTAATTCTAATAGATACTTATATAGAATTCTCTAGCTTTATTAAACAACATCAGAGTCAGAGAAAGTCGAAAGCATCCTATATCATTTGATTACTCCGCTCAGTATTCCTGCTAGTCGACTGGGTAACCCGAGATTGTTTTATTTATGGATGTAACTCACTACCAACGCCACCTCGTATCAGCCGTATCCTTGATCGGGCCAGCCGAGCAATGTCCCTGCCTTGGTAGCACTGTGAATGCATGGAATGACAGACGCGGTCTGCCTTAATTCACAGGACCTTTGGAGGTGACATTTCATATTCCATATCAAGCCCCACAGGCTGGATCTTCTGCCACACCCGTATCCAATAGCTAGCATTGGAACTGGAGTGACATGTCCCTGGACATGCAACAGGTCTATGATACTACCGTTCTATTTACGCATCGAATTGGATTTCCTCGATCCACCTGGTCTATTCACATATTCACCTGAGTCCTAACGGGGGCGGGCACCGTTTTCCGGGACGTGCACCGTTTTCCGGGACGTGCACGGTGGGTCAACGTATCTGTGGCAAATCCAATGTCATCTAGTTTCTAATTTAATGCTCTAACCCTTGTAATCAGTGTGGTTATCGTTGTATTCAATTTGGTATCCTGATACTATGTTCCTTTGCGGTCCTAGGGCGACGTCATCAAGCCCGACCAACCTTGCCCACAGACATGAAGATCATACATTCAATGGCCTCATCACGACTGAAAGATAGGTGCATGTGGTCAAAGTTCCATAGATGTTAGAAACATAGAAGTGCCGTGTGGGTACAAAGCCAATAGTTAACTGTATGTGTATTTCCAACATCTATTGACTTTGTCCAACAGAAAAAGTGCATTATCAGATAGGATCAATACT